GTATGACTAGAGGCACTATTCTGGACACTGGAGATATGCAGTGAACAAAAGTGCAAAGATCTCTTCCCCACTGTGGGGCAAGACAGAATAAACAAGAAATATAAGTAAAATATACAGTAGGCGAAATGAGGATGAGCATTCTTGGGAAAATAAAACGAGAAGACGGATGGCAAGTGTTGAGTAGGGACTACAATTCTAGACACTGGGCCCAGGGGAGGCTTCATTGAGCATGTGACATTTAAATAAGGACCTGAAGGAAGTGAAGGGTGAGCCACGGGGATAGCTGAGGAAAAACACTCTAGGCAGAGGAGACAGCAGTGCAAAGGCCTCAAGGCACAAGTTGGCCTAGAGGCTTCAAGGAGCAGCAAAGAGGCATCCTGGCTGCAGCAGGAGAGAGAAGACAGTGTAAGAGGAGGTTAGGAATTTAAGGGGACCAAGTCATATAAGGCTTTATGGGCCACTGTAGGAATTTTCACATTTCCTCTTAGGAAAATGAGGATTCCAGGTGGGATTTGAAGAGAGGAAAGACATAATCAGACCCATTTTTAATAGGATCACTGGCTGCTGGGCTGAGATGGAAGCAGGGAAAATGGGTAAGAGACTCCCATGATAATCCAGGCAAGAGACGAAGGAGTCTTGGTCCAGGGTGGTAGCAGTGGAGGGGGTGAGAAGTGGCAAGGCTCTGCATATACTTTGCCAATGGGCTGGATGAAATAGCAATGAACTAAGGGGTCAAGGGTGACAGAGGTTTTTGCTTCAGAACTTTGCTGAGCTCTAATGACTCCAAAATCTACACCCCCAGCCCAGACTTGTGCCCTGACCCTCGCAGCTGTTTATACAGGTAGCTAATGCCAAGTCAACCACCTTCTCCTTCCTCCACTATTACCTTTCACTGGGAAGTGGTTGGTCACCACTCACTAAGTGCCCCAAAGGCAAAGACTTGAGAGTCAGGCAGAGTCTGTCCTCTAAAATGACTTAACACCCTTTCACTGCTTCGATATTATTTATTCATTCAACAAAAGTACTGAATGCCTTCTTGCATTACGTAACATCCTCTGCACCATTTTCTGGTTCTTTAACATTCTTTTAACTGCTCTGCCTACTTTCTGTCTCTCCCCATGAAATATATCGTCCACACTGCTTCCCAAATAATCTTTATAAAATGCAGAAAAGATTAGATAATCAATTTCTTTGCTCAAAGATCTTCACTGGCTCCCTATTGCCTACAAGATAAAAAATTCTCCAGTTTGATATTCAAAGCTCTTCCTGATGGGGTAGTCTATCTTTCTACCACTACCCACCATTCCATGCATTCACAGATTCTCAGCTACTCCCACTCTACTTGACAATTCACTATGGTCCAAGTGGTTTACTACATGTTCCTGCTTCTGTGCCTTTCATGACATTGCTCCCTCTGTCTAGAATTCTCTTGTCTACTACCATATCATAATGCTACTCACTCTTTAAGGCCCAGACCAGGTATCACCTCTACTAAGAACCCACTAAGATCGACCCCGCCTCATGATTAAAATCTCCCTTCACCATAGCCCCACAGCTCTTTGTACCTTGCTCTGTCTTGCACTTCTCTTGTCTTGCCTTGGATAATTATTGGGGACAGACTGGACTAAATCATCTCTGCATCCCCTGGGGCCTGGCACACAGACAGGGGATTGACATTAACATTCAATGGACTGAACTGAATAATGTTACCTAAAATAAGTAGAGTCTGTTGGGTTGGTGGCACTATTTTTCTAGACCTGTACCAATGGCATAGGCTTCCTCCATATAGAAGGAAGTGTAGACAAAGGAGATACCAGGCCCCTGGCAGCTTGGGGAGCTCTTGGCCTAAAGGGAGAAGCTGAGATAGAACAGAAACAGGACCATACTCAACACTTCCAATAAGAAAACTAGGGTGGGACTGGGGAGGACATGAAAAGCAAAAACTCCAAAAAAAAAAAAAAAAAAAAAAAAAAAAAAGATGGGCACAGTTTACTGCATCAGATAATGTTGAGTTTGTGATGTCAAGAGACTGAGGACCAATCCACTGGTCCCAGCATGCCCTCTGTAAAATGGAGTGGCTGGATCTTTGAAAGGAGAGTCCATCCAGCTCTTACTTCCTATAGTGCTCTAATACTTCTACAATTGTTTGTCTTCCTAAACCATTTGACATCGTCCTTAGGAAGGTTTTTCTATTCCCTTCAGAATGATTATTTCAGACTCTGAGTCGTGGATGGTTGTCTCTACAAGCTCCCAAAGGAAAACACCCATGTGGTTTTTGCCTGCTTGAGGTAAATACCACCTTAGGCCAGCCAACCCATCTGTAAACCAGGAATAACACCAGATTGCAGCGATGTTGAGGAGGGTTAATTATATACAGGGTGTCTAAGGGTTGAGCAGATACACAAGTGCTCTGGAAGTTCTTGGCATAATACCATAGCATTACAATAATTCTGGCTAGCAAATTATACCCCAGCAGAGGTATCACATGAGAAAGTGGATCCAACCCTATGGCCTGCTAAAAGTGACATGGAAAAAATAAGATATGAAATATAACTTCTCTTCTTGAACCTTTGAAAAAGGCAGAGTTAACTCTTCCATGTGCAAGGCATATGCAGGTAGCAAGCTTCCAGATTCTGGAGAAGACTTTCTTGTCTCAGGTGGCCTGGCCTATTGCCAGGATCTAAGCACAGAAGTAGAAATAGGAAGGAAGAGAGCTGGGGAGGATTTGTGGTTGGATGAAAGGTGGGGTGTAAGACAGGGATGTCCTTCCTTTTCACGTTCTCTCTTTCTCTCTTTTCTTTCCTTCCCTTTCTTTCTCTCTCTCTCTCTTTCTGTCATTTCGCTCTGTTGCCGAGGCTGGAGTGCAGTGGCACAATCTCAGCTCACTGAAACCTCCGCCTCCTGGATTCAAGCAATTTTTCTGCCTCAACCTCCCAAGTAGCTGGGACTACAGGTGCATACCACCATGCCCAGCTAGTTTTTTTGTATTTTTAGTAGAGATAGGGTTTCACCATATTGGCCAGGATGGTCTTGAACTCCTGACCTTGTGATCCACCCACCTCGGCTTCCCAAAGTGCTGGGATTACAGGAGTGAGCCACCGTGCCCAGCCACCTTTCAGGTTTTCTACGGGGGCCTGCTTATATGCAAGATAATTAAGTGCCAATGTGGCAGAGGAACAATTTAAAGAGTAACAGAGGTATTTAAGTCTAAGGATATCCAAAATGAACATCCTAGCCAGGTTAACTTCTGGGCTAACCTCTCTGCATGCACCAGACACATCACACACACACACACACACACACACACACACACACACACACACATCCCCCTTAGATTATGTCCTGTGAAATGCTAAGTAAATAGATCTCAGGCAATAAAGAGGCTGTGTAGTTGGTGATAGCATCTGTGACTGTGGGATGTCACACCGTGGGTTTGGAAAATTCGATTGGCCATAGAGGATGACAACATTGTGTGACCAAGGAGGGAAAGGGTAAATAGCTAGATTCTGGAAGAACAAATTTGAAGTCAATTCCACTTTACCACCGTGTGTGGCTGAGCAGATAGAGGTAAGGCTTCACAATAAGACTGACTTGGAGTACTGCTTCTATCACTACTGCGCTGTGGCCTCAGGCATGAGTCTGGGTGGGTTAGAGAGGAAGCAGTAACAGCTCTCAGGCCTTCCCAGTCCAAATGTCTCAGACTGAAAGTTGGCCTTCACTTCCAGCAGGGCCAGAACTATAATCTGACCAAAAGAGCCCCTGGCCTTGCTGTCTGCCCTCACAGGTCCCACTGTTACTACAGGATACAGGAAAAATAGACTCCCCCAAAGCACATCTAGAATAGGTGGACACCAAATGCAGACTATTGATTTCGGCTATTGTTTTAGTAAATAAATATTCTTAAGAGAATTTCTTAGCTCTCAGGTACTCACACCTCAGGGTTAAGCCACAGTTTGGGGCTTGCCAAGACAAACTCAAAGTAACACCAGACCTCGTGGGCAGCTACTTCATTTTCAGGCAGCATTTCCCTTTCAACAAGGAACATGCCGCCTCCCCTCGGTGCAGACCCCAGGAAAAGTTACACTGAGCAAATCGTACTGCTCCTTGGGCCTGTTTCCTCAATTTTGGCTAATAATCAAAGGAGGATCAGAAATCGCAAAGAAAAAACTCTTGGAAATGACATATTTATGGTGCCACCCAACTCAGGAGCTGGCATCCAAGGGTACCTGTCTGACTTTCCTCTAGGCTTCAGTTTCTCCATGTAAAATGAGGTCCTGTTTGTTTGTTTGTTTTTGTTTTTTTCTTTTTAGATGGAGTCTCACTCTGTCGCCCAGGTTGTAGTGCAGTGGCAAGATCTCGGCTCACTGCAACCTTCACCTTCCGGGTTCAAGCAATTCTTTGCCTCAGCCTCCCGAGTAGCTGGGATTACAGGCGCCCGCCACCATGCCCGGGTAATTTTTGTATTTTTAGTAGAGACGGGGTTTCACCATCTTGGCCAGGCTGATCTTGAACTCCTGACCTCGTGATCCACCTGCCTTGGCCTCCCAAAGTGCTGGGATTGCACCGCGCATGTCCGAGGTCCTGTATTAAATGAAACACTGCTAGCTCCCACAACATAAGGCATTAAACGTTCCCACAACTTGCTCCGCCAGGCTGGCAGTGAACAGGGCTAAAGCCTCGACTTCCTCAGAGGTGAAAAGGTAGGCAAACATTCCGACCCCCCCAGCCTTGCTCTCGGATTGGTGCTGGGCCCGGCTCCCACCGCCTATCCCGGCCGCATCAGTCATCTGGACTGCTAATACACTCATTAGCATAAAGATTCCTTCGAAGACCTGGCTCACGGGGCTGAACCGGAGTCTGTCCCTTTAAGGAGAAGAGGGGACAGCCACTCTGTTCCCTAAGGGCACTCGGCACTGCATTGCCTCCACACAGGCCACGCTGTAAACTAGAAAGGTTTCGTGTTAATCCACCCCCACCCCTCAACCCCAACAGGGGGATACCTGGAGTGAACAACGCGCGGGTCCCGCGGGACTGCGGACAGGTTTGGCCTCTGCGCGTGGCACACTCAGCCAGGCAACCTTTAACAGGAGGCGGCGGCAGGCTGCAGGCGAGGCGGAGCCGGCCGCACGGCGGGACCCCAGCGCCCTGGGGCAAGACCCTGGTACTGGCGCCGGGGCGGCCGCAGGAGGTGGCGCGTGCAGGAGCAGAGAGGTGCGCCCGCCCGGGACCCCGAGCGCGAGGGGGGCGGGGCTTGGGCCGCGGTCCCCGGCCACGCTCGCGGGGGTGGGCGGGGCTGGGTCTGCGGGGGCGGGCCGCGCGCGCGGGCTCCGGGAGGGCGGGGCGGCGGCGCTGGGCGGGCTCTGGCGGCCTGAGTGTCACACACGCGGCGGCTCGGGAGGCGGCGGCAGTGGCAGCGACAGGCGCCGCCGGGACGGGCACGGGCGCGCGGGCTCGGGCGGGCGCCGGCTGCCTCCCTCCGTCTCTCGCTGTCTCTCCCGGCCGCATTCTCCCCGGCTGTGGGGCCGAGCTCGCCCCAGCGCTCGCAGAAAGGAAGAAGGGAGCGAAGGACGCCAAGAAGTTCCCGCGGCAGCGGCGGATTCCGGTCAAGGCGGAGGCTGCGGCTCCGACGGGGCAGGAGAGCGCTCCACGGCGTCCGCGGCGGGGGCCGCTCGGACCTTCCGCTCTCTCCCGGGCGGTGGGCCGGGACCCCATGAGACGGGCCCACGAGGGGCGCGAGATCCCTAGCTCCGGCTGTGCTAAGCGGAGGGTGGTGCTGCAGCTGCCGGAGCCGGAGAGCGGCCGGCAGGAGGCGGCGGCCTCGAGAACTTGAACTTGGCGTCGGGAGCGGGCGCCCCGGACACCCACCGCTGGGGCCGGGGCGCCGAGGGACCTGGGTGGCAGCGCTGCCCCCCGAATGGCCGCGGCGGCGGGCCGGGCTACCGCGCCGCCGCCCTAGGCGGCCACTCGCCATGGCCAAGTGGCTGAACAAGTACTTCAGCTTGGGCAACAGCAAGACCAAGAGCCCCCCTCAGCCGCCGCGGCCAGACTACCGCGAGCAGCGGCGCCGGGGCGAGCGGCCCTCGCAGTCCCCCCAGGCCGTGCCGCAGGCCTCCTCCGCCGCCTCGGCGTCCTGCGGTCCGGCCACCGCCTCCTGCTTCTCGGCCTCTTCGGGCTCGCTGCCCGACGACAGCGGCAGCACCAGCGACCTCATCCGCGCCTACCGCGCGCAGAAGGAGCGCGACTTCGAGGACCCTTACAACGGGCCCGGCTCGTCGCTGCGCAAACTGCGCGCCATGTGCCGCTTGGACTACTGCGGCGGCGGCGGGGAGCCAGGCGGGGTCCAGCGCGCCTTCTCGGCCTCGTCCGCGTCGGGCGCTGCGGGCTGTTGCTGCGCCTCCTCGGGCGCGGGGGCCGCCGCGTCCTCGTCCTCGTCCTCCGGCTCCCCACACCTCTACCGCAGCAGCAGCGAGCGGAGGCCCGCCACGCCGGCCGAGGTGCGCTATATCTCCCCCAAGCACCGCCTCATCAAAGTGGAGAGCGCCGCGGGCGGCGGAGCCGGAGACCCTCTGGGGGGCGCCTGCGCGGGCGGCCGTACCTGGAGCCCGACGGCTTGCGGAGGCAAGAAACTGCTCAACAAGTGCGCCGCCTCAGCGGCGGAGGAGAGCGGGGCCGGCAAGAAGGACAAGGTAAGGTGCTCCTTGGCCTCTTCCTGAGGTTCCAGGGCCACCATGCGCCCGGGGAAACCGAGGCACCCACCGCTCTCGTATCGAGTCCCTACTTCAGCTTCGGTCTAGGACCCTGGGTCGGGGCTGGCGTGCTGCTTCCCGATTCCGCCCCCTCCCGCGCGCTTTCCCCGGGACAGGCGGCCTCCTGACCCCACCTCTTTCGCTGCTGCTCCCAGAACATCCCCTCTCTGAGCCCACTGCCCTAGCGAGAGCGCCCGGCCTAGCCTTGCCCCAGGAAAACGGACCCAGCCAGCCTTTCCGGCTGCCAAGGAGTAAAGTCAGAGTCAGAGCTGTCACGGACTTAAAAGAGCTTTGACTCCTGACTCCCTTACTCCAGTCCCCACCCTCCGCTCCCGCTCTAGTTGGGGAACTGAGATCCAGAGCAAGAAAGGAACTCGCCTAATATTACACAGCATTCTCGGTGGCAGATCCGGACCGGCTGTCTTCGGCGTGTGTATGTCAATCCCTCGAGGCCGCCCTGCCCAGTCCTGCCCCGCCCCACCGCCTGCTCCAGGATTCCAAATCCGGGCTGCCTGGTACCGGAGCTGCTCCGGGAACCTCCACGAGTGCTTTTCCGGTTGAAATGCGCTGCCTCCGAGAGCGCTCTTCACCGAACCCGTCAGTTCCTCCTGCCGCGTGAGGGGTCAGCCTATCAGGCCTGGCTGCAAGGAGACCCTACCCCTCCTATCCTCACCTGCTTCCTTCCTGAACTCACCTCTACCCCTTACGGTCCCAGGAAAACGGGGGGACTTTGTGACAGCCCCCTTCCTAACTTATCAGGCCATCTAGATCCCTCCCTTTGAAGCAGACGAGTTAATTACAGCCAGACTAGGCTCCCTCCTCCCCCTTCACACTCCTGTGAAGCCCTCCCTTCTCCCATAAAATAATACTTGTTCTGTCTACTTCTGGTGGAAGGCAGTGTTTTGATTAAATCTGAGGCCCGGTGGGAGAGCTCCTTCCTTCTCAGCGCCCTGGTGCGTGGCCGTTGTTCTCCCCACCTTCTTTCCCCAAAGGTAAACCTTTGCCCAGGCCTGGGCTGTGGGAGACTGATGAAGAGTCTGAGTTCCTTTTAGGACTGGATGTCCAGACAGGAGGGAGACAGGCTTTTACCTGCCAGCTGGTGCTTGGAAAGGGATCTTTTTGTTTGCCAGGAAAGAGGAGGAAGGGAATGTCCCTCCTCTAGTTTTTCTGCCTGGCCTTCTCTCCCCGAGGTCCCCAGAATATCCCCTCCCCTGCTTGATCTGCATTGAGCATTTCATGGAGGATCCCACCTCTCCCTGGAGGCAGTTTGGGGCACACCCTCGGAAGCTTGGACTCTGGGTTTCCTAAGCGTCCAGGATGCCACACCTAGATGACGAAGAGCTGGGAGCCAGGTGGCCACCCAGGAGCTGTCTTGGGAGATGGGGGCAGATTTCCCTGGGAGTCTCTAGGACCCTAGGTTTGTTTTGGATGAATGAAGGAAACACCAGATAGGCTCCGTGTAGTCTTATGCATGGCCCAGGCTTGGCTTGGTGCGGGCCCTGGGGAGAACTGGAGGTCTTGGATATGGAAGGCACGAAAGGGTCACAGCCAACTGCACTGGACTTTATGCATCCTTGTTACCCTGCAGCTATGCTGCAGGTGGGCAGATCTCCTTTCTCTCCCACTGCTAGTGGATCAAAACTTCAGTAAACATTTTTTCCCAATGGCAATTAAGACTCTTTCAAACACTGAGAAATGACTTGTTTTATAGCCAGGATGTCAAAATGTTTATGACTTGGCTTCTTTTCATCACCAGATATTTCTTACTGGTCTTCTCTGTGCCCTCCTCTGCTGGGTGCTGGAGCAGGGCCCCTCTGCAGTGAATGCTATGACAGGGGCCATAGTGGCGTGATGGCAATGAGTGCTGTGATGAGACCTTGTGTTACAGGGTTACAGGAGGGCTGAAGGGCAGGGGAGAGGTGATGGGGGGCTTGGAGGAGTGCACCTTAGAGGCAGGGCCGTTATTGTCAGGGAGGGGTGGTCAGCATGGTTGGCTGGAGAAGAGCCTTGTGCTTCAGGGAACTGCAGGTGAAGTCCCTTATGGCTGGATTGAGAGGTTAGAGTTGGGCAGGGCCTGGATCAGGGAGGACCTTGTAAGCTACGCACAGAGGGGGCCTGTGAAGGGATTTAGCTGCTATAGTGTTTTGATCAGATATGTTTTTTAGTAGATCTCTCTGGGCTGCTTTTCATTTACTAGGTTGTGACTGCAAGACCTTTGATCTTCTGAGAAGTTGTCCAGCTGTTCTTTCTATCCAGGAGGTAGGAAGCAGCCAGGGAGGGTCAGCAGAACGTTCTAGTGCAGTGATCCTCAAACTTTAATAGTGCACCTAGAGGGCTGGTTACAACAGATTGCTGGGGACTATCCTGTAGCAGCTGACTGAACATGCCTTGTGGGGGACCTGAGTGTTTGCATTCCAGCATTTCCCAGGTTGCGGGGGGGAAAATGGCTGAGGGTCCTGGGACCATGCTTGAAAAGCACTCTGGCAACATTGGCTTCTTAACTGTCCCTCTGGGTCTTCTGGTCAGGTTAGCTTTGGGATGCAGAGACTCTGGATCCCCTTGTTTCTGCCATTCTGTGTGTGGTTACCCCCTGATCCTGGGCCAGTACCCCTCCATCCCCACCTCATCAGGCAGTCAGGAAGCAGTTATTTTCACATTATTTCCAGCCAAACATCTTTTGGGAGGCCAGGCACACTGTAGATCCAGCCTTCCTTATGCCCCTCACTCATGGATCCAGGAAAACCCACTTCTGGCACCTCATTTAGTCTTTATCCATTGTTTGAGGTCTCACCCTGTCACCTAGGCTGGAATGCAGTGGTGCACTTAGGGCTTACTGCAGCCTCAACCTCCCAGACTCAATCCTCCCATCCCTTAGCCTCCTGAGTAACCGGGGCCACAGGCACTCACTGTCACATCTGGCAGATTTTTTTTTTGTCTGTAGAGATGAGGTCTCGTTAGGTTGCCCAGGCTCCTGGGCTCAAGTGATCCTCCCACCTTTGCCTCCCAAAGTGCTGGGATTACAGGTATGAGCCACAACACCCTGTCTTCTTTCCCTTTTAGAATTATTTGGAAGAGAGACTAGCCTTACTTTGCTGGTTTTCATAACCCACTTTTTCCAGCATTTACTTTGTGCTCAGAGATGTCTTGGTGTAAGTGTGAGTGAGGAGGGGAGGTAATGAAGGATGCGGGAGACTTGTCCATGATCTTTGGCCTAAGCCCCTGGAGGAGATTGACAGAAATTTCATTCTTTGTTTCCCAGTGTTTTTATCTTGGAGAATTTGAAGAGATCTTCATCGAGAAGGTGGCTTTGAGCTAGATCTAGAGCTGGAAGTGGAGTCTCAGCACAGGGGAGAGGGTGACTGCAGGCTGCAGGAGTGCTTATGTGTCAGGGCGTGTATA